CGCGCTCACACCTGCGCAGGGGGCGGGGAAGGGGATCCTGGACGCGGTTTGGAGGGACGCCCCAAGAAACGGGGACTCTCCTCAATCCCCAGATGTCCCCACCCGCCCTGCCGCCCTTAGTCCCTTCAACTGCGAGGGCTCGGAGCCCGGGAGCCGGGCGTGGAGCGGGAGAGCTGGCACCGGGAGCTGGGAGACGGCGGCAGCCTAGCGGCCCGACCTGCCGAAGGAGACGCGCCTGCCGGGAGCAGAGGGACCCTGAGCCCGCTGTCTGCGGAGTCTGGCCGTCCAGCTAGCACGCTGCTGGGGCTGGACTGGACGGCGGCGGACAGAGAGACGGACCCAGGAACGGGTTTCCTTCCCTAACCCCACCCCGTGTGAAATCGGAGTTGGAGCTGGGGCTGGGGGAGACAGAATTCAAAGCGAATTGCCCAAGCTGGGCTTAGGGAGCTGCAGGCTGGTAGGGGCGCGAGAGCCCAGGCCGGACCCTCTGCTGTGGAAGGCAGGACTGCACCGCGCTCTGCTATGACAGGGGCTTCGGAGGAAGAGGGCTAAATCCTTATCCTCAGAGGGGCAGCTACGATGCACCCTGGCACTCCCCATCCCTCTCTTCCAGCAAGGCAGGAGGGCTGGCACCCCCTCCCCCATTCCTTCTGAGAAAGGATAAAGAGAAACTGTAATTTTCCGTGGGATGGAGGAGGACCCGTGTGGGAGCAAGCTAGAAAGGGTTAAAAAAAGAAAACACCTTGTTTATTAACAATAATAAATTTTTTTTTCAAGTGGCACTGGTGTCAAGGGAAGGGAAGGGCTGTGGAGCGAGTCTGGAGCAGGAGGCTGGAATTACGCAGTTAGGCGAGTTTAATGACCTTTTTGACAGAGACAAAGCGGTGCCGATACAGTAGATAAATAAACGGGTCTGTCACAGGCAGCGGCGAGGCTGTGTGTGAATTTATTTTTCTCATTTAAATAATTTGATCTATTCCATCATTCCCAATCTCTCCCATTTGCCAGCTGTCTGGTAAGAGCATGGCCCCCAACATCTGAAAAGCAAATCTTTAATTTTCTTACAAATAGGCTATGAGTGGAGCTCTATCTGGCCTATTAATTTCCCTGTCTTTTCTTTCTCTCCCTGTCTGGGCATAGGGGACCAGGGCTTTGTGTGGAGATGTGAATATTGCAGCGTGGCCAATCCTGCCAATTAAGGGGGGACTCCCCCACCCTCCACCCCCCACCTGAAGTGGCTGTGAGAGGAGGAGGAGAGATTCTCCTCTTAAGAAGAGAAAGGTGTGCTGGTCTTCGGGCCACCCTCAAAGATCCGCCAGCAAAGGGAGTTACCTGTGGGCTGGCTTTACCAGACTTGGGCCTTCCTCACCCTTGAGCCGAACGGCTGGTTTCCCAAGCAGCCACTGGAAAATGTTACCCAAGAGCCCAGAGGGAAGAACAGGCAGACCAGAGCCAGAGAAGCAGCAGCTGCCACCTCTTGATAGAGAGTAACTACCCGCAGTGGGCCCCAGCAAGCAGGAGCTCAGGAGAGGAGCAGAAGGCCCGCCCTCCAGGGGGAAGCTGGAGGAGCCTCTTCGCTCAAGACTGGGCACCTCAGCTCCATCACCTATCAGCTTCCACAGCTGGTCTAGTTGCTCCAAGGAATCTAGAAGCCCAGGCTGTTCTCTGAAGAAGAACATCCCAGTGCCCCGAGCGGGGATGGAAAGGGGATTGGCAGCACCTGAACTAAAGGCCTAAAAGGGCTGAATCGCCAGCAGTGCTCAAGGACGGGTAGGGGATGGGAGCGGAGGGGAGCCTGGATGCTAGTTCTGTTGGGGTTGTCCTGCAGGCAGTCTCTTTAGGAGAGTGGTACTAGGGAAGTGAATGAATAAATGGGGGGTGGGGGGGAGGGTTGGAGACTCCAGGGGAGGACTGAGGCCCTGTCACCTGGGGGCCCCTCACCACCCCCAGGGAAGCAGCATGGGCTGGGCCTTGCCCTTTTGCATTTCAGATTTGCCTGCCCTGCGAGGAAGGAGACTCTGCTTAGGTGGGAAACAGCCTCCAGCTGCAGGGGCTGTGGGTTCAGCGCTGGGCCTGGCAACCTGCCGGAGCCTGGGGCCAGAGGGAAGCTGGCTGCCCCCAGCCCAGGACTGGGCCTTCTTCTGGGCCTAGCTGCAAGCCATTTGGTAACACAGAGGTCTCCCCAAACTGACAGCAGCCTGCTCCTCCCAGTGTGGTGGAGGGTGGGAAGCTTTATAGCAAAAACAACAGCAATGATGATGATGACCACCAGTATTTATTACATGGTTTCTATGTTCTGGATGACATACTCACTCAACGCACCTTGCACACATTGCTTCATCTAACCCTCTCCACAACTGGCTATGGTAGAATCTGTGTGCTGTTTGCATTTTACAGATGAAGACTCTGAGCCTCAGATAGATATAAGAGGTCCAAAGTCACACAGCTAGTACAGTATATGACCTTCCCTTCCTCCCTCCCTTCCTTCCTTCCTCCCTCCCTCCCTCTCTCCTTCCCTCCCTCCTTCCCTTCCTCCCTCCCTTCCTTCCTTTCTTCCTTTCCTTCCTTCCTTCCTTTCTTCCTTCCTTCCTTCCTTCCCTCTTTCCTTCCTTCCTTCCTTCCTTCCTTCCTTCCTTCCTTCCTTCCTTCCCTCTTTCCTTCCTTCTTTCCTCTAATATTTATTGGCCATCACTACCAGGTGCTGCGGTGAGAAGCCAGTATCTACATGCAGGCCTATCTGCCTCCTAAGTTTGCAGGCTTGACCCCTATCCTGCATAGGCTGAGCCTGGGACAGGCTCTCAAAGAAGATCCCATCACCTGTCCCCTCTGCTGGAGGCCCACTGGGGCTTCTGGCTGCTTGTAGACAGGCTAAAGTAGAATAGGATTTGGGCCCTTTACTGGAGCAAACTGGGGAGCTCCGTAGTCCCCGGAAACCTGCAGCCCACTCTCCCTGTCTCGTGCGCCTGTCCAGGCTGTCCTGCCACCAGCAGGCACCAGAACTGGCACAATCTCAAGCTGCATCTCTGGGGACTGGGAGCCACCAATCCTGGCTTTTCAAATTGTTGGTAAACAAGTCTCCCCACCAGCCAAGCCTGGGCTTCTCGCTCCCCCAGGAGGCAGCCGGTGCTGGATTTATGAGGCCTCCGAACCTCATTCAGACTAATGCAGCTTTTCATTCCAAAATAAAAGGGGCCGCTGTCTGAAAGGACAAGTACTCCTGCATTTCATTACCATCTCCAAAAAAAAAACCAAAAAAAAACACAGCCGAGCTGGCCCAAGTCCCTGCCAGCCAGATTCCTGTCTCCCACCAGCTCACAGGTGGGGGTAGGAGGAGAAGAAACCTCAGGCTGTGGCCTCTCTGGGCCACTCCCCAATGTGCCCCCCTACCCAACCCTCCCCTCCCAACCCTCAGCTCTGCGGAGGCGGGGCAGTGGGGAGTGTAGTGGTGGCCAAGCAGGCTCACGTGGATGAGTCCCCCCTGTGCGTGTTTTGTTAGACTCATCCACTCCAGCTCTCAATCCCCTCACAATCACTGTGAGTGATGAGGCCCTGGGCTCGAGTTACCGAGATTCATGATCTCCGCTTCCCTGGGAAACCAAGGAGCACACGCTTGCGGTTAGCTGAGTGCAGATTCCTAGGACTTGAGTGCCCTCTGCTGAAGCCTGCCTACCTTCATCTCCCTTCAGGCTGCCTGGTGGGCAGGCTGCTGGTGGTGGCTGGACGCTGAAGCCAGGGCTCTCTGGCCACTCCCCTAATGTCCCAGTAGCAGCTTGCAGGATCACAGTCATAGCTGTGCCTTGGTGTGAATGAGGGGAGAGGTTATCTCACCCCCATCTCATCCTGGAGGGGGTAGGCAGGACTAGAAAGAGGCAGCTGCCAGCTGCCTGGTCTTTGCTAACTGCCTGAGCAGGGAGGAAGAAGAGGAGCCTCCCTCATACCCACTCTTAACAGCATTCTCTCCCCATCAAAGTTCGTGCCAACCAAAGGAGCCAAGCCTTGGCCCTTCACAGGACACTGTGACCTGCCCCTGGGCCCAGGGACAGGGACATTTTTATCAGCCTGGGGCCTTTGTCCCTCATCCCTGGCCCAAAAAGAAAGAAGCAGGGCAGCAGCTGGCTGCCACGTGAGCAAGCTACAAGCCCAGTGAAGGCTGCATCACCTTAGATTTTTGTCAACAGTCAAGCAAGTTCATTCCCACTGAAGTCAATTCCTGTGTTTATTGTTAGCTTAACTGGCTGCTGGGAGTTATTGCTCAGCAGTGAGGGAGACAGGTAGACAAGCCACCAGAGATACGTTACTTTACTGACATCTGCGTTTCAATAGTCCGGTGCAGTTCTGGTGGCGGAGTAAATGATACATGGCAATCCTGTTTGTATCCATACATAATGGAACAGTCGCCGGTGGTCTGGGAGCTGGCAGGGTTTTGCTGCTGTAGGGGGAGGGGAGGACTGCCTGCAGAAAACATCA